GTCTAGAGTTGGTATTTTTAGAAACCTCCCTCAACTTTCAGGCACAACGGGTCGCTTGTCGGGTTTTGTATGGCCACTCCAGGACCTTGAAATGCTTCTTACGAAGCCACTCCTTCGTTGCCCGGGCGGTGTGTTTGGGATCATTGTCATGCTGAAAGACCCAGCCACGTTTCATCTTCAATGCCCTTGCTGATGGAAGGAGGTTGTCACTCAAAATCTCACGATACATGGCCCCATTCATTCTTTCCTTTACACGGATCAGTCGTCCTGGTCCCTTTGCAGAAAAACAGCCCAAAGCATGATGTTTCCACCCCCATGTTCACAGTAGGTATGGTGTTCTTTGGATGCAACTCAGCATTCTTTCTCCTCCAAACACGTCTATTTGAGTTTTTACCAAAAAGTTATATTTTGTTTTCATCTGACCATATGACATTCTCCCAATCCTCTCCTATCATCTAAATGCTCTCTGCAAACTTCAGACGGGCCTGGACATGTACTGCTTAAGCAGGGGGAAACGTCTGGCACTGCAGGATTTGAGTCCCTGGCGGCGTAGTGTGTTACTGATGGTAGCCTTTGTTACTTTGGTCCCAGCTCTCTTCAGGTCATTGACTAGGTCCCCCCGTGTGGTTCTGGGATTTTTGCTCACCGTTCTTGTGATCATTTTGACCCCACGGGGTGAGATCTTGCGTGGAGCCCCAGATCGAGGGAGATTATCAGTGGTCTTGTATGTCTTCCATTTTCTAATAATTGCTCCCACAGTTGATTTCTTCACACCAAGCTGCTTACCTATTGCATATTCAGTCTTCCCAGCCTGGTGCAGGTCTGCAATTTTGTTTCTGGTGTCCTTTGACAGCTCTTTGGTCTTGGCCATAGTGGAGTTTGGAGTGTGACTGTTTGAGGTTGTGGACAGGTGTCTTTTATACTGATAACGAGTTCAAACAGGTACCATTAATACAGTTAACAAGTGGAGGACAGAGGAGGCTCTTAAAGAAGAAGTTACAGGTCTGTGAGAGCCAGAAATCTTGTTTGTTTGTAGGTGAACAAATACTTATTTTACAGAGGAATTTACCAATTAATTCATTAAAAATCCTACAATGTGATTTCCTGGATTCTTTCCCCCCATTCTGTCTCTCATAGTTGAAGTGTACCTAGGATGAAAATGACAGGACTCTCATCTTTTTAAGTGGGAGAACTTGCACAATTGGTGGCTGACTAAATACTTTTTTGCCCCACTGTACGTGCAACACCTTCAATGACCGGGTGTGTGTGTACGTGTGTGTACACGAGTAATCCACAACTCTCACTCTCAGGCCAGATAAAGGTCAAATAATCATCCATGTGTATGATTGTTTGTGTGGATGTGTGTGTGTGTGTGTGTGTGTGTGTGTGTGTGTGTGTGTGTGTGTGTGTGTGTGTGTGTGTGTGTGTGTGTGTGTGTATTGGTCTCAGGTTACTGAGTGTGTGAGTCGTGAGGTGCAGGACAAAGACGAAGGGTTGGCCTGCTGCTTACCTAAATAGCATCATTAATTACACAATCGGATCTCACAGCACAATGGACACTCTCCACATAAAGCAGAGCTCTGGAAAATATATTTGCTGTCCTGTTTTCTGCATGATTGGGCCTTTAGTCACACACACACTCACAAATGGGCATATGGCAGCATGGGATGGGCAGGTCCCCTCCTTTACACACGTGTTTTGTTGTGGCGGACTCTGAGCAGCAGTGCAATAAAACACCCACCAGTCTGCTGAACGAGCTGCTGCTGAGGCCTTTAGGTCAAACTGTCAAAAAAACACAAGCGCTCCTAATGATGGCTGCTAACCATACCTTAATCAACAACTTCTAATAACAGAGCAACCCAGTTCCTAATGTAGAGCAACTAAAATGTGCCTTAATTAATTTATAAGCAAATATAATTGTACAGTTCTCAGCTGAAGACACATTTGAGTTGAGTTGATAATCTCAGCTCCTTTCAGTCTAATGAAACCTACAGAACCTGCCATATGGTCCATCAGTGCTGCAGACAGCTGTAGCCGAGCTACTGATCCCACACTGCAGCCACGGGACAGATGAACCCTCAACAAGGGTGACACACACACACACACACACACACACACACACACACACACACACACACACACACACACACACACACACACACACACACACACACACACACACAAATTAGAACTGCCCTTTCACAGTCTCAGGACCATGTTCACAACCTAAACCTTGCAGGAACTTGAGCAACACAGAGCGGAAACTATGACAATATTCAGATACATTTATTAAAAAGGATCAGTTAACCCAACATTTCCCGAAAAAATTATCTTCCTCACCTCTTGTGGTATCTTGCGATGTTTCTATTTTCCCCGTTTCTTATCAATTCAAAGAAGCTGACAGGGTTGTGCTAAATGTTCTACACCATCTCTTCCCAGTGTCCAGATAGGTCTTGAATATGCCTAATTGCACAAAATAATATAAGAACCANCATATGTGAGAAAATTGGAAAAGACATGTGTGTCTACCAGCATGTCGTGCACTCACTGGCTGTGGCACAACAAGTAGTTTGTACAGAATAGGAAAGACAACATCTTGTCTTTCCTATTCTGTACAAACTACTTGTTGTGCCACAGCCAGTGAGTGCACGACATGCTGGTAGACACACATGTCTTTTCCAATTTTCTCACATATGGTGTTGATGGGGACATATCTCTCTCTCATTCCATGACCTGCATGCATGTACACTAGAGATGAACCAAACATGTATTTGCTTGCATAATATATGAGCAGTACTTCCACACCTGTGTGATCAGACCTCACAATGATGCGGGAATATGCAGATGTATGGCATGGAGCACCATCCTTGTGACTGCCTCCTCCTGATCACTGTACAGTGATGTCAAACTTCTGACTCCTGCTGTGCAGATGCTCTTCACCTCCTCCCCTTCGTCAAATCCTGAGTGTAGTCTCTGTGGGGCAGCAGCGACAATGCTCACAAACATGCACAGAGCAGTCTTGTATCCAATACTCCTCAAGTACTTCCTGTAGTTTGGGACATTTGTTTTGCCAATGATAACATGTGTAGGCGTTCCATCACTTGCACCTTTCCTTTGCCTCTCCAGGTCTTTGATTGACTGTGGGCCGTCATACCTGTCAAATACCATGACCACACATTTAATTTCTTGTTTTCTATACATATACAGTGGGGCAAAAAAGTATTTAGTCAGCCACCAATTGTGCAAGTTCTCCCACTTAAAAAGATGAGAGGCCTGTAATTTTCATCCTAGGTATACCTCAACTATGAGAGACAAAATGAGAAAAATAAATCCAGAAAATCACATTGTCTGATTTTNAGTTGAAAGTCCGTGTTGCCCAGCGACAGCCCCAAAACATCACTGCTCTAGAGGAGATCTGCATGGAGGAATGGGCCAAAATACCAGCAACAGTGTGTGAAAACCTTGTGAAGACTTGCAGAAAACATTTGACCTCTGTCATTGCCAACAAAGGGTATATAACAAAGTATTGAGATGAACTTTTATTATTGACCAAATACTTATTTTCCACCATAATTTGCAAATAAATTCTTTAAAAATCAGACAATGTGATTTTCTGGATTTTTTTTTCCTCATTTTGTCTCTCATAGTTGAGGTATACCTAGGATGAAAATTACAGGCCTCTCATCTTTTTAAGTGGGAGAACTTGCACAATTGGTTGCTGACTAAATACTTTTTTGCCCCACTGTATGTGTACCAACACTTGAAATTAAATAGTTTGGCAGTTAAATTCAGTGGAATACCTGTATTACTGACACGGTGGCCGAAGGGAAATGTAACTATTTGCATCAAATTCAAATCAAAAATCACGATCCGATGACACAAATAGTGAAAGCACTTAATTCACACTTTCCATTTCTTAAATCACTCAATGTTTAGATTGTCTGAGTCACCAGCTAGGGCACAAGTGTGAGTCTATTAGCTTTTGTGAATTAATAAACAGACATGTAATGTATGTTTATGGTTTCCCTCTGCCTGCCTTGTTGCTGTGCCAGCATGACATTTGGATAAACTTTATGGTTCCTCATGTCCATTAAAACTGGATGTGGGCTGTGTCTGTTCACTCAGACAATTTCCTTGAGTGTGACAGATTAGCTTTGACAACAGGACATTACTTTATTTCCGGTACTAAGATAGCATGCTAATATCATACAGCAACAACCCCCTCCCTCATTGTAATTGCACTGACAAGTCCCTCTTAGATAAAATACAAATAATAATAATTACAGGATTATAGTGCAGCTGGATTAACATGTAACAGTGCTGCACTTGAAGTACTGACAGTTCAAGTAGGACTTTATCCCAGCACTAGGAGAGGAAATAAAGAAAATGTGGGAACCACATGAAGGTCTGACAGTCCAAGAAGGTTGCTAAAGAACCTTTCACCTGCAGACCTGAAGTAATCCTATTGTATATCATTCAATTAGTTTAAATACCTCATCACATGCCTGTTTTCCAGCACTTTCTTGCTGAGTGTATTTTCATATTTAGCTGCTGTTTGTCTTGGAAGCTTGGAGGGAACATGAGAATAAATAAGCAGATGATCTCCTGGAATCATGTGGGTTTGCTGCCAGCTCTGCTTAAATGTATCTTCTGTGTGTGTTTGTGTTCAAACCGAGTTCATGTGCATCAGTATGTATGTGAATTACGAAGCGGGAGGTTCACAGTGTGTTGGCAGCAGTCATACTCCAATTATGCTGCTCACAGTGTGAACTCTCCACCTCTCTTCCTGTGGATTGTGAAGCATTTGGAGTGTCTCTTGTTAGGAAAAGCGGGCCAACGTTCACGCACATTTTTCTTTTACCTTTTACCTTTACCAAAACATCTTTATATCCTATTTCCTGTCTGCTCTTTCTCCCAGATTCATCATGAAGCTCTTCCTGTTTTTGGTGGCGGCGCTGCTCCTGGTGGTGGCAGAGAGCTCTACAGAAAGAATCCTGTCCAGAAGAACCAAGAGGGATCTGGCCAACCCGCTGCATGTTGGGGGCATCAGGGACCCTCATGGCTCCTACTGCGAGAGGAGGGGGGGCTGCTGCCCCGGCAGAGACGACATCTGCACCGTTCCCTACCTGGACACCATCTGCTACTGCGACCTGTTCTGCAACCGCACCATCTCCGACTGCTGCCCCGACTTCTGGGAACATTGTCTGGGCATTCAGCCGCCTTTCATAGGTGAGTAAGGGTGCACAAGCCAGGGTGCAAATGTTTGTATCAGTGAGTTGTTTGCAGATGTGTGTGGGCCTGTCGTTGATAGTTAGGCTCACAGAGAGCAACACAGAAACCCACTGACAGACTCAGCAGCATGAAACCTAAAAATGAAATAACATACCTGCTTTTTTCAAATCACAAGAAAGAAACACGGTTCAAGTAATAATTTCGATTTAAGTCATTATCTTTTAACGAATAGGTAACACAATGGTGATTGAGCCTATGACCCGCTGATGAAAGCTCTTGTATTTGCAGTTTTACAGAGAGTTTGTCTCCGGGCGACACTGTATCGATTATAAACTTCAATAACTGCTTATCACCATTTGTTCGATTGTAACTTTAAATTAAGAAATGTACAAACATGATTGGACAGGCCATATTTGTTAGGCCTGTACAACTTGTTTTTTCAAATAAATACATATTAGAACTTGATGCTGAAATAAAATGTAAGTAAACAGATACATTCCTAAAAAAACATTTCCCTGCTCTCAAAAAAAAAAGTAAGATTATCGTTCTTTCAGCAAAGATTAAAATAACAATCCCCTCTCCACTTCCTGCTCCTATGTCCTCTTCTGGTCATTTTTTTTAACGGTCCCTTAGTAAAAAGGTTAAGATTTGAGCTAATTTAGTATTCTCTTTTCTTACTACTGTTGGATTCCCTACATTCCCTATAGCCTCCTCTCAGTGCAGAGGTGTAAAATGTGCCAGCGACAGCAGAGGCCTACCTGAGAACAGAGCAGGGAACAGTGGGCTTCTTATTAAGCCAGACAGAGGGGAGGAGGGGGTGGATGGAGGGATGAATGGAGGTCAGGAGAAAGAATGTGGGCTATGTGGCGGGAAGGAGGGACAGTGAGCGGAGGACCGGAGGCAGAGGGTTCGCCGCAGGTATGTGTTCCCCGGACGACAAAGTAGCGGGATCATGATCTGGGACACAAAAATTAATGCATGTTTTAACACACGCACGCACGCACGCACACACAGTCTGGAGGAAAGCTATGGTACTTCAAAAGAAATGTAGCTAGATTTTTCTCATTATGTTGTAAAAGTTAGTGTCTAAGTATAATATTTGCTTACAGAAAACAATGTCTCCATCACATCATAAAAAAGAGTCACGCTAACTTATTACATGAAACCACATACTTTAGTCCAACAGAATCCCCCTGATATAAAACCCTTCAATGCCAATGAGTAACTTGTCACACCGCTCTGCAGTAACTCAGTGCTGAGACAGCTGTGAGGGGGATGATGGGTAACAGAGGGCCTCACTCATAAATCACACAATCAGCTCTGGGCCTCACACAAGAGGAAAGGAAACCTGCACACATTGTAAATCTTCAGCCAGCTCATGCCTTAAATTCCACATAAAACTCACACTGACAGCATCTTCCACTGTAAATGCTTTAGGAAAAACCTCCCTGTGAGTTTGTCAACAAGTCAATATAGTTTTCACAAGTAAGCAATGTTTAAGTGTAATGGGTCAAAATAAATCAAAAGCACTGCTTATATTTTGTCACTGCAGGATTATAGCTGACAAATGTACAAAACATTTGTTGGTGTTTAATTATTAATGTACCAGACGAGATTTTCCCAATGGAGGTGGTGAGGTGGAGAATAATCAGTTTAAAGCGTGAAGAGGGCCCAGGAAGCCTGGGAAGGCAGCAGAAAAGCTAACGCCACATTCCTACACTGGATTACTGGAGCTCAGAGCTGCTTAGACTGCAAATATTCTGTGTGTACGCTCACATAGGAACACACAGGGAGTTATGATAACACTTTTTATTGTGCTTGCAAGTGAAGGCATCATATTGTATTATATTAGGTGTGCCTGCACCTCTGTCTCCCGGTTGTGTATTATCATAAATATTAAACTGTGACTCTTTGTCTCCTCTCAGGCACCTGCGAAAGAAATGGAAACACATTCTTTTCAGGGCAAACATACAGAGAGAACTGCAATTTATGGTATGTAAACTCCTTTTTTCTCACTCTTTTAACCTATTTAATGCCCCATTTCTTAGCTTGGAAACTTCCTCTATGTTCACTTCATCTATATTCTCTGCACTACTTGTCATACGACTTCATATGAACCATGAAATGCTTAAACTAAAAGATATATTCAAGCCCAATAGCCATGTTTTTATCGATGTGCTATAACAACAAAATGTAGATCTCTTGGGCATCACATTTCTCCACATTTCATACTGACGTTGAGTACTTGATATTCCTAAAACCTCTGGGATCTGGGGTAAAAAGTTGGGTGGGTTTGCACACAGCATGTGTTTCTAATAATAAAGCCACTGGTGGGCGTAACATTCAGCTTTTCTATCTATATTTATGACAGGATCTTCATATCACACACACGTTGTCCCTTTCTACCTCCGTTTCCTCTACTGTCCCTCCTTGTTTACAACGGGATCATTCTTTATAAGTTGTTTTGACAGCAGGAAAAAGCACAGGTGTAAATTATACATTACTGATGGGTGGTTTACATTAACCATAGCTTGTGCTAGTATTGTGCTCTCTACTCTGGCAGACTGTCACTGTACGGACACTTGACAAGGACATAGCCATCATTTTTGTTATTTGTTACAGCTAGTGCTTTTCCTGCCTTGACAAGTTACAATGACTGTTTTGATATGACCTAGTGCAGTATGAGAGTTATGAGATAGACAATAAAGAAATTCACACTTAAAGTTAAGGAAACAAGTGACTTTAGGTGGGTTTTAGATGCTACCAAGAACAATATGTATTAAATCAGTTGAGTAGGTTCTATTTCCGGTTTGTTGGTTTAGTTGTTAATTTGTTGATTTTCATCAGCCAAGGAAAGCCGATGCAAACATTTATGTGGATTCACAAATTATTTTTCACTTAAGTTGACATTGCAAACATAGGGTATGGCCTCGGGGGAGGAGTCAGTCTTGTTTTCAAATTTACTAGATTATTTATTAAATGGCTAATGTTGGTAAAGCCTCTTTGTTATTATTTATCCTGAAGCATTCACTGTTATGATCTTAAAAAATGAATACCAGCTCAGCAGTCTGTGTCTGTAACCGTATGTATAACTGAGAATACATAATAAAAAAACAGGAAACTGGAAAATAAAGATACACATGTGTTCCCTGTGCTGGATAATAAAACAAAGCCATGTATTCTTGTTTTCATCCTTTGTTTAGATCTCCTTGACAAGGTTGCATATTGTTTCCAGTCCAGCTTTGAATGTTATGACCCTCACATGATAAGAGTTTCTAAAAACAGTAGTTGAGATTAGCTCTGTGTCTTTTTTTATCTCCTTGGCCTTCTGCACGCTGAGGGCAACATGAGTCTGTTGTTATTTTTTCTGAGAGGTATCGGCGGCAGTCAAGGAGAGGGAAAGCAGATCTTGAGAGACTAAAGGAAGGAGACAGATGAGGTCAAGTTAGTGAAGACAGGAGGAAGGGAAGTTAAATTCCTCACCTGTCCTCCACTGTGGTTTCTCACGTCTGTGTTATTTGATGTTCCTCAGAAACCCTGTGTACGTGCGTCCACATGTACACAAATGTTGTATACATCCTTATTATATTTATCCTAACGTAACAAGAACACCCTGTGGCTGTGTGTCACGACAAGTCCCAAACCAGGCTGACCCCGCTGTTCTGCACGTCCTCTGCTTAAAACCTCGCAGCTGTTTGACTGTAGAAGCTGCGCTGCGTCAATCTAAAAGGCCTGAAATATGACTTTTATCATGACGGCTCAATTAGATTCAACCTGAAGGGTCTGATGGTTGAGTCGATATGTGAAAAAGGCAGTTAATTGATGAATGGTGTGACAAGCTTTTCTACTTGAGGAAAGACTTGGGGAGGTTGGTCTAAAAATAACCTTGAGTGTCCCAGGTGACTGGAAAAAGCATTTATGTGCTAACTCCCCCTTTCACCATTAACAAAAGAGTCTTACACAAACGCTCCCACATGTATTTGTAAAGGCAACACACATGGATGCTTGAAAAATGGCACCACCGCTGTGGTGCAGAGGGACACACACACTCCCTATTCCTGCTCCCACTCTCTATTTATTAATTTCCCAAATGTGCGTCCTCCCGGCTCGATCAGGGCTGCGGGGAGGAGGACAGCCAGGGCTTCCTCTCGGAGTCAAAAGGCCGCTCTCCCTCTTTCCCTTCCAAAGTCTCTCATTAGCAGAGTTCAAACTCCCACATTTTGTTATCTAATATCCTACATGTCTTGACAAACCACTGGCTTAAGCAAACTAGAAAGCCACATATCAAAGATATAGTCCATACAAATCTGCTCTTTGACAATCAGTAGCACAATATGTTATAACTTTTCGTTTTAAGTACTTCCATGGCAGATTCAGTGCAAGACAGCACAGAGAGACAAGCTGACTGAGCATGAAGTATTAAAGCGATGAAGATGCACTGTGATGCATGGCACTGTGTTAATGGGATCCCAAGCTGAGACTTTTTCATCCTGAAGACTCTTTATCTGTCCCAAGTGATCTGAAACGCGGCGCCTCCTGCTCACACACAACCCAGGACGAGCAACTATCTCCTGATTTGGCAGCAGCTCTACGGTCTGAGTGCACTTTGGTTTGGAAAACCGCCAATGCCAGCTTGTTTTTAAGGGGTTGCGTAGTTCCTCAGATGAGGTAGACACATCATTTTTAAATGCACACAAACATGGCTCTGATTCCCCTGATCTGACAGGATTTGGCAAGGCAATGTACCGATTCAGGAAACCTTATTGTTTATGAAATATTGTTAAAAAAAAGTGTCTTGGATGCTCACAAACATCATCATAAAATATACACACATGAAATGACTTCGTAGAAATGTATTAAAACACAACATCATTTATTAAATAAATAAGAGTAGGTGTGCTTTATAAGTAATACCATTATATTTGCCCTCGTGGATATTGGATATTGCAGTTGGAACTTAGGAGTTTTGGTTAGTCCTCAGAGTTGGTCTTGGGCTGTTCCCCGATGGGAGTAGCTGGAGGACTGTGTAAAGGGTGTGTGTGAAGGGTCCTGAATGGAGTAGTCTGCCTTTTATTTTAACTGCAGGACTGTAAATGTAAGTTGGTTGCATTCTCGATACGTTTATTCTTTGGTTTCTGAGCCTCAAACAAACAAAAACAAACTCCAACCTGTGTACATGCATGATCTCAGGAGTGATTGGTGGTCTCTTTCTCTAAAAGACAGAGAATGTGAAAAATGGCCTCCCACTGTCCTCCGAGACATCATATTTCTTTTCTCAGGCGCACTCTGTCCCCCTGTGTCCATGAGTCTGTCATTATGCCTGTCCCAGTGTGTGCATCCTGTGCTATTACTGTGTGAATGTATTGTTGTATTTTACCCACTGGCGCTGAGCTGCATGTACAGTGTGTATTCCTGATGAAGGGAGAGAGAGGTTAAATGTCACTGTCTCTCTCCTCTAATCAAAGCCATCAAAAGTGCCCGCTCTAAACTGTGCAAAAGTGTGTGTGAGTGCTGACAATTGTTTTGTTGATCGGTTCTCAGAGACCCAGCAGGGAGGAGTCCAGTTTGAGAGGTGATACACACCCTGCAGGTTGCAGTGTGACTGAAGGGGAATTTGGTGTGTGTGTGTGTGTGTGTGTGTGTGTGTGTGTTTAATGATCCTCCCAGGCAGGTTCCCCTCTCTGTAAACATGCTGTCTAATGTACAGTAGACTTTATGGTTGGAAGTCGATACACGCCTGTTTGGGAAACACCCCTCATTCTTTCTCTCTCACTACCAAACTAATTTATTATGAAATCCCCCGAACGTCGGCTGACCTTGCAGCTGTTATTTATGGTGACTTAGAAACTTAAGCAGGTACAGAGAGGGCCCTGAGAACAAAAATATTTACAGTCAGACTACCAAAAAACATCTTTAAAATCTGCAGATGAACCAATCAGTCCCGACATTTAATAACGTTTCTTTATATTAAACGGCCAACGTTGAGATACAGAGAGTAGAAATACTGATAAAGGGCGTTGTGAGATTCATTTTATAATAATCGGACATTTTGGGAAGTATGCTTATTTGCTTCCTTGTTCAGAGTCAGATGAGAGGATTGATACTGCAGTGCTCTCAAATGAATATGTATAGGCAGCCATCAGCCAGTTAGCTTAGCATCAAGACTCAAACTAAATCCTGATTATTAAACACACAAGTTATGGTTACTTATAGCTAACAAAGAGATTAACTTATTTGTTATCTTTAAAGGTGCTTTCCTTTCCCCCAGTTTCAAGGTTTTATAATAAGATAAGCTCTGTTGGTGGTTTTCATATTTGCTGTACAGGCAGAAAGTTGTCACACTACTCTTGTAAAAAAGAAAGGAACATCATTACAGAAGGTCTCCAGATTTAGTTTATGACATAAAGTAACATACTTTAGAGGAGAATGTAAAGTTTTAAAAGGACAGGACAGTTTTATGGTTTTGATTTAGTAAAGGAGGAAATATACAGGTTGAATGTCCTGTCAGAATGGAAAATCCATGATTGCGGTTTTAAACAATGAATCAGACTGTTTGAATGGTTTAGCAACAGCCAATCATTAACTTTGAAGTATGAGCGGAAGGTGAACTGAAGGCATCGTGACTCATCTGTGGCAGCAAGCCGTGTGTCTGGATAATTTTTGTCAAGCACAATTTTGAAGTACATGTACTTAACTGAAGTGTTTCCATTTATGCTCCTCTGCATTTGAGAGAGAAATGTCAAACTGTTTACTACACTTCAATTATTTCACCTGTTCATATTTTAGTTTGAAACATACAAGCTTATGATGCATTCTTATAGATGTATTACAATATCCCAATTATATGTCCTTCTGAAAGGGTCAAACAGGACTTTCACTTTTAGAAGTCCGTAAATGGGTTTTTGTATTGGTAAAGGAATTTGATACTTTTCCAAAGCACACACAGACACTTAAACACACACACCGTGAGTCATCAAAAAGTACATAGTGCAAGTTATTTTGGAGCATCCCTAAAGAAAGATTCCTCGTCATCATTAACATCCTGTTCTCTTATAATCTTCTTCCTGGCTCCTTCTTTCCTTTCTTTGGATTTTGTGTCCCGCTGCCTTAAAAGGCTGAATGTTTCCTTTGACCTCTCCCTCTGTTTTCTCACTCCCTCATTCCTTCTATTTCCATTTAATGTGACTGATGTCCTTTTCCCAATAATTGTCTTATTTAGGAATTCCTTTGAGCCCCTGCATATTTGTGTATGTCCCAAAAAGTCTTTCTATTTTAGCTGTGACTTCACTGGATTTAGCATAAATAAATAAATACAACTATTATAATGCAATTACAGCGGCTAATGCCTTTTAATGGACTCATGTCTTTGCCCTTCTTTCTCTCCTCTGTAGTACATGTGGGACCACGGGACGCTGGGAGTGTGACCAGAACGCCTGTCTGATGGACCAGGACATCATCTATTCTGTTAACAGAGGGAACTATGGGTAAATAAAACAAACGCAGCCTCACATAAACACGCACATACTCATATTAGGGTTGGTGTTCTAACCCTAACCTTATTATATTTATTACAAACACATTCTCATTATATTTTGTGCTTTCAGCTGGAAGGCAGGTAACTACAGTCAGCTCTACGGCATGACTCTGGACGAGGGTATCCGGTTCCGCCTGGGCACGCAGAGACCCTCCAGGACTATTATGAACATGAACGAAATCCAGGTACAGGACAGTCTTCTTCCTTGATACCAAGAAAATAAATACAGAAATAGAAACATGTGGGTGGTCAACTTCGTGAAGGCACAGGAATAAAACTAAGTTTTGATATGCATATTCTCTGCTCAAGTGCCCTTCAGCAAGTCATGGAAACCTTTCCATCCTCAGTGTTTTGGAGATGACTTTTGACCTCTGACCTGGCTCTTAAAAGGTGGCATGAGTGAACTTTTTTCCACGGAAGATGATCAAGTTACTTGTTGCTACTGGGTGTAACCTCTGTAACAGGGGGTTCCCCTTTAAATTCCTCTTATACAATATCTGCCACTACATCACATATTAGATATGTGTTGTTGCATATTTTCAGTGTTGGTCAAAAGGAGGAGAGCAGGAAGTTGTTGCGACATGTGAGAATGCAGAGAATTAGGGAATTGGTACAGTTTTCCCAGTTTTCACCTGCGTACTTCCTGTTGGTGATATGATGATATTATGATTTTGTGGTATGCACTTTTACAACATTTTACACCAAGGGGCCACTGATCAAAACGTTTCTCGCCTAATTACGGTGCTTTGTTGGTAAGTGATGGCGTCTCTGGCTGGAATCTCAGGCCTCTCTATTCCTCTCAGTCTTTGTTTACTTTTCAGCCAGACAGATTACATAAGACGGAACCAAAACATCACACAGAGAAGAAGATGGAGGAGATGGTGGCTGCCTTGAGAATAAAGCCAATCTTCTCTTTAGTCTACACCTCCATCCACCCCCTTCATCCATCCGTCCTCACTCCCCCGTCTAGTTCTCCCAACATTCCCCAACACTTCCACCATAAAAACATCACGTCCCGCCCACCCCCCCTCCTTCCGCAGCCATCGTGTCCCTACCTGTGCAAGGAACCAAATCAGAGCCCATTCATAAATCTCTCTGTGGCTGTCTCCTCTCATGTCTGTCTGTAGGCTCAGGTGTAACAAATAGTGAATGCATGAAGGAATTAAGACATAGTTTTGCAGTCTTTTCCTCTCTTTCATCATGCCTTTTGGTCAGGTGTCTGTTATTTTGGACTTTAACCTTCCACAACTACAAATCTCCGAACAGAAGCACATTCCTTAGTTATGTATCAGGTGCCCATTTGTGCTTTGAATACCTCCCTAGTAATCAGAGGAATGCCGCGCAGCCAGGCAGAGAGAGGGCGGCACAGTTATACAGTAGTGTGTGTGTCTGTTATCACACATAACTCTGAGATTAAGACAGGATCCAACCACGAGTGGAGACTAATAGATCGAGTATGTTTGGCATCTGGGATGCACCTTCGAGTAAATATGCGTTATCAGGAAGATACTTGCACTCCATCACTGACTTATCATCCTAATTAGGATTTATCTCACAGTGGTATTGGTATTTTAAATAGAGTGATGCCAAGAGTTCAGCTGGTACAAATGACTCATTGGATGAAACTATGCGTCCTCATGGTTTCATGGAGAGGACGGGGATCAGAGGTTCCTGTTTCATCTACAGCGTCAGAGATTGACACTGGGCCAAATGGTCCTAATAGCTTGTGAATACATCCCTTCTACTGGAGGGTTGATTAGCAGGTTTACGTAATCTGCCTGTAATCCAAACTTGTTATACAAAGAGTCCACAAGTATTTCAATTGCAGTTGTTTTATGGTGGGCAAATAATAGCAACACAGTCCCACTGCTGCTGCTGCTCTGATCTGAGTTTTAAACAGCTGTTTCTTGTGTTTTACTCTAAATCCTGTTTTACATAATAGGCTGACACTCATGAATAATGGTTTACTCTAAATAGTAATGTTTCCTCAATCAATCAGTTCTGTCAGAGTGCAACCGTAATTAGGCTGTATTTACTTGACTCTGTTTTTCTTCCTGTCAGATGAACATGGATCCTGAGGCCGAGCGTCTTCCAAGCTACTTCAACTCAACAGAGAAGTGGCCCGGAAAGATTCACGAACCGCTGGACCAGGGAAACTGTGCTGCATCCTGGGCTTTCTCCACTGCAGGTAGAATAGCTTAAATTAAGGAAAAATGCAATGTTTATGAGATGCAGGAAAGACAAAAAAAGGGGACATTGGTTAAAAAAGAAATCCCCAAATACTAAGGTCTTGTTCCAAACACTGTCATTTTACATACCATAAACATACTTACAGGAGGATACAACCATTATTCTTAGAATCATCCGTTTCAGTTTTTAAATAGTTTGTCAGTTTTTTGCATGACATGTTTTAATACTGTCCATCCTCTTCACTAGCTGTGGCATCAGACAGAATCTCTATCCAGTCCATGGGTCACATGACTCCTCAGCTGTCACCACAAAATCTCATTTCCTGTGACACGCGCAACCAGGGAGGCTGTGCGGGGGGACGCATCGACGGAGCCTGGTGGTACCTCCGGCGTAGAGGGTAAAGGTTTTATATAAATAGGAAACAAAAACGAAAAGCATCATACAATCTGTTGGGGGATTTCTGATGAGAAAGTTCTAGAGATTTGGCTCAATCTTTCCATCCCTCCTCTTCTCTCACAGAGTGGTGACTGAGGACTGTTATCCGTATCAATCCCCACTGGAAGCCCCCGTGGAGGTGGGCCGCTGCATGATGCAGAGTCGCTCAGTGGGCCGGGGGAAGAGGCAGGCCACCCAGCGCTGCCCCAACACACACAACTACCACAACGACATCTACCAGTCCACACCGCCCTACAGGCTCTCATCCAATGTAAGCAGTGCACAAACACTAAACAGTACATATGTGATGCATACAGTCACACTGACTCCTCTCACACGCTCGTGTTAAACCTACAGAGAAACACAACATGTTTTTAATCTCCAGTGAACATGCAGCTTTGGGATGTCCTCTTGCTACACTGGACTGTAATCTTTCACATGTGTTTATTACTGTATGTGTTTCTGCACATTTTCTCATGCATTCCTGACTGCGTTGAGAATGAACATGGGAATGAACATGATCAAATGCTCAACAGCACTCTTCAGTGAATCAGTGAAGGGCAAGGAGTTTCATTTGTATGAAATATAATACAACATTTATTCAATTCTAAATGTAGTTACATCAGCTTAAAGTATACTGGATTTACTGGCCGGTGAGTGGATAAAAACTATTTACAGAATGCACTTTAGATATCCTTATTAATAATCATTATCTGTATTGCTGGAATTAGATTTCTGTGTTAACCTCCTTGTATCAGGTTACTTGGTTCTTTCTGCAGACCAGAGGGCATATTGAGGTCGAAGAAGCAAAACAGAAATGGAGAAACAAGCTGCATATAAATGTAAATGATATCTCCTAAAGTTTGAGACTTAAATACCTACGTAACTATGAGCTCTAAATGGTTAATGTTAAAGGAAAAGTGTACAAAGTCTTTTGAGAAATGGATGTTTATCTGGCATTTCAAAAGCTAGATGATAGGGATCATACCTTTTTCAGTTTGAGACTCCAAAAGACAACATTTGGTATCTCCATAGGACTTACACTTACACAAATAAAGCATGAATACAAACAGCCCAGCACACATTATCTACTTAGATGAACAGACAAGTGTAATGAGGAAGAAATCACATTTGAAAGCACTGTTATGCATTATATTCTGCCAACTAGTAACCCAATAAGAACGGGTCACGACCCATCTTGGGATCGCGACCCTCACTTCAGGAAAGACTATTCTAAATCAGATCTTCTAGTAGTCCGCTTCATGGAGAAAGCACCTCTGCCCTCTGTCTTTAGCACAAAGTATCATATGACATCCTAAACTGTTTCCAGAAGCCGTCTCCGCATGCAGCTTCGTGCATCTTGTTTGAAATTCAAAGTTGACCACTGAGCTGCAGCCGGCCTGTGGTTTTATCGGCCAGCATCCATCTCCGCTAAATGACGGCTAATGCCTCTCAAAACCTTTAGTGCCTGTTGTTTTTCTCTCACGATGGCCTGTGAAGTCAATAAGCCAGGCATTAAGGCCTGGGGCCCTGCTGGACTCAATCTCGTTATCTGACTTTTAACATCCAGGGGGTTTGTTTTCCTCCTCTCCATTTCACTGACATGTAATGATCTGCTCTCTCTCTCTCTCTCTCTCTCTCTCTCTCTCGCGCGCTCTCTCTCTCTCTCTCTCTCTCTCTCTCTCTCTCTCTCTCTCTCTCTCTCTCTCTCTCTGCCTACAACATTTTCTTCTATCGTCTCTCTTAGGAAAAGGAGATCATGAAGGAGATTATGGATAATGGCCCTGTGCAAGGTAAGGCACACTTGAAACCAATGTTTTAGCGTGAACATTTGCTCCTCTGTGTGTTACATGTTAAAGTTAAAAACAACACAACACTCTCAAGAGACTCACAAATAAAAACACGTGCACCATGAAGCCTCGTGTTCGGTATCTGACTTGGGTGATGTCAGGGTTGACCTTGTCATCCTGATGGTTTTGTCCCAGGTTTCCACTTTGACCCCCAGTCACCTGGTCAGAGATGATAGGCCTTCATGTCAGTGTGGTTAAAATTACCTTCATTTACTAGTGTGTGTGTGTGTGTGTGTGTGTGTGTGTGTGTGTGTGTGTGTGTGTGTGTGTGTGTGTGTGTGTGTGTGTGTGTGTGTGTGTGTGTGTGTGTGTGTGTGCACAGTGTGTCAGTGTGAGTGAGGAGGTCTACACACTGTTTTCAGACAGAGAACACTGGATTTGGGGCAGGTAACCCTCGATAAAGTGAATTTCTTTAGCATCCCGAGAATGTTTTTCCAGTGAGCTGGAATAAGAAAAAATTACTCATGACTCCACACACACACACACACACACACACACACACACACACACACACACACACACACACACACACACACACACACACACACACACAGACACAAACACACACACACACACACACACACACACACACACACACACATATTCAGGGGTGACATTGGAATTTGTTTGTTTAAATTACATCATTACTTTTAGATTATTTGCTGTTTGAATAATATATGTATCACTCCGTTACAAGAGATTTTCCTCAGCTGAAAACAAATATTATGTGTGTTCTTGTGAGTGTTATATCCTTCTGTTAATTCACCATGCTTGTTTGTTCTTGCAGCTATTATGGAGGTCCACGAGGATTTCTTTGTCTATAAGAGTGGGATCTACAAACACACTGACGTCAGCTTCACCAAACCTCCACAATACCGCAAACACGGCACACACTCGATCAGAATCACCGGGTAAGTTGCCAGCATACAGTAACAGTTCAAACTGTTTTAAGTGTTGTTGCCACTGTTCTGTGAACCAACAGTCTATTAGTCATGGCATAACCGTAAGTGGACATTTGCTCCGTGCACAAACACGATAAGACTCAATATAAACTTCTTTGAGGTTGTGCTTGTATTTTGTGCCTTTTGATGATAAAAGGTTTTATTCAGTGGGAGTTATTGAAAGAAAAACCATGGGCAATGTTACACAAGTAGTGAATGGGGTGCGGAGAAAAACATCAGCTTTCCTTCCTCTCGATCCAAGTCTGCTTGTTTCCTTGTTGCTACATGTTCCACAGATGCCGTTTCATCAGAAAAAGTGTTTATTAAGGATGAATCGGGTTTTAATCTGCGCAAATCTTATCTTCACCTGCACGTGTTGCACACTGCCGAGAATTTACGTGACAATAAGCTTCCCTCCCCGTCTGTTGCTCTTGGAGACACACCTTGGCTCCACTCCTCTGTCTGGCCCAGACGAGCGCCTCCTCCTCCCCCCTTTCTCCTCTATCTAGAAACTACGGCAACCACAAATATGCAGACGGGCAGACGGCTGACACACCTGGATTACCTACCCCCACCCATCCGCCTCTTGTTATTCCCCCTCGCTTTCCTGCCCCGTCTCTTTGGTGTCTCCCTCATCACTCCTCAGCTGGCCATCACACTCACTCTTCCTCCTCCTTCTCTCCTCTCCTCACCCAAGCCAAAACACTCTTATTATCATGTATCTGCACACGGACAGGTAATGGTTTGCTGCTGTTTAGGTGTGTTGTTCGGAGGGCAGTGGGAGGTGTTTGACCTGTAAAAAGTCAGACACATCGTTCAAACATGTTAAATATTTGACAGGGCTTTTCTCTGCGCGTCCAGCTGGTGTTAAAGTGTGTCTGTCTTGACAATGATAGGTTGCCGCTCGCTCACTATTCTCACTTTCCAAATTAGGAAAATTAGCATTTACCTCGTAATGGTTGCGGAAGAATGTATTGAATGTTTGGAAGCATTTGACTTTACTGTAGAACCTCAGCATCTGAGCTTTTCCATCAACATCATTTTCTCCAGGAATGACTTCACAGCGCTATGATAAAAGCAGTCTCTCTACTTTTATATGATTGGCCTTTGGTGAAGACCCGTTTACAAGCAGCTTTTGATGTCCCTTTTGATGTGCGTGTATATTTGATGACATTTCATTTCATGCTGCATATGGCCTGTATAGGCATGTGGACGATAAAACCCTCAGCCTCCAACCTGTACTTAACTTGTTTTTAAGTGTCTTCTTGAAAGATGCACATGTATGTAAGACTTCGCTCTGTGGACAGTAATTACATCTATCAGCCTGTTTGTCATACACTCTGGAGGTATGCAGGGTATTCACAGTTTTCCTGAATGACTCCTGCTCGTTGGTTCCATACTGACGCGGTCCTCACCACTGACTGGGCCACTGGATGTGGATGTACCAGCGACATGGGTTTAGGGACGGATGGAGCGAAACGGAGAGTGAGGGGTCATGGTGGTTTGGGCTCCAACCTGCCAGCCACAGGCATCAGTGTGTTTACATAGGCCAAATCCCATAGCGATGCGTTCTTTTAAGCCCAGGGCCTGGGAAAGTTTGTGGAAAAAGCATTGAGGTCCACTGTGGTGGAAAGGGCATTGTCTGGGCCGCTGATCCTGACTGCATCGGACAGAGAGCGGGGGATCAATCCTCGGAGAAGGGGTCAGGGGTGGGCCGAAGGGCGTTGGTGAAGGGCGGGGCATGTGGGCACAGCGGTATGCCCATCATTGTCCCGGAGTTAGCAAGTGAGCCGATTGGAGGCCAGATAAGAGATCAGCAGTGGTCCGACTCTGTCTGCCTCGGTCCATGCCAACAAATATGCAGCAAGGCAGGCATGCATGTGGGATCACACACACATATACAGGTGTGAATGCTCCCTTTCTCACACACACCGATCCCATCCTTTCTCCCGACGGTTTTCTGATTGTATTGGGCATCTGTTGTTTACCCAGCTGTCTTTTATTGTGTCTGCTCCTGCTCTGTGTGACGTCTGACATGTGCTAATAAAGATGGTCGCTGATAGAGGGTTGGCACTATCTGCCAGTGTTGTGATGGCAGGCCTCTGAGTTTGGCAGAGTCTGATCAGAGCCACTCTTATTTCCCAGCATTCCTCTCCCTTCTAAAAAATAACAAGCGATTGGGCACTGGCAGTCTCTTGGGAAACGAAAGGCCTAGAGTGCAAAAACAGGATGGGAATTGGCTTTGAGAGAATGTTTTGATCATGACGAGCAGAAGCGGCGGGCGTCTAAAAGTTGGCAGTGGCAAGGCTAAGACCAAAGTGCAGGGCGTGGTGGGAATTTATGGGCATTGGTCAAGGTGCCTGAGAACAAAGCTGCTGGAGAGGATGGAGGGTAAAGATAGGCCTCTAAGTTAAGATACGCACATGTATATTTGTGTGTTTTTTGTCCTTAGTCGTTTTCTGCTCTCTGTGCTGGGATAAAGGTGTGCACTTCCTCATGAGCTTCCCTCTCCTTCCCGTTTCATACAGAAAGGAAGGAAAAGGGGAATTCCATGTTCATTGGATTGGAATGATGTAGGAGTGCAACTAGGCGGTGTCCAGATATAAATACTCTGTTTTCAGGATGTTGTTAACAAGATGAAAGACTTTTTCCCCCACTTGAACACTACTTATGTCTCTTCCTGCCTTTCTTTATCAATAATGTCAAGCCTGTTCTTCTAGGGAGACACATTCCTTTGAAGTGTTTACTTTGACACGTTTTCTTCCATAATTCAAAAATAGCTTCCCAACTCTGATTCCGCTGTTTTGACATTTGACTATTTTTGTTTTCCTGTTGTTTGACTCCGATGCATGTTGAGTAACCTTCTTCTCTGCTTCCTGAACCAGGTGGGGAGAGGAGAGAAACTATGATGGGTCATCAAAAAAATACTGGGTAAGTAATTTCAGTGATGTAAAACAAACCGAAAACCCTTTGCTCAAACATTGTGCTTTTTTTAATGATTAAAGAAATACCTTTAATGAAGGTGTTTCTGCTTTTTGCCTTATGTTCATGATTATAACCAGATACTGTACATGCATTCTCAAATCAAAATCTGCATCATCTGTACTAAGTTTCATACAATTTGCTCTTCAGATTGCTGCCAACTCCTGGGGAAAGAACTGGGGAGAGAACGGCTTCTTCCGTATCGCCCGTGGGGACAATGAGTGTGAGATTGAAACGTTTGTGATCGGTGTGTGGGGAAGGATCACGATGGAGGACATGCACAAACATCATCACCAACATCGTCGCCGACACATTTAGAGACACAGCAGAAGCTAAAACCCCACAGAGAACTTTGTTTTGAATCCAACATATAGATGTGTTTTACCCCAGATGAGAACCAGACAAAGAGTCTCAGAACTTCAGCACATCCCTTACCTGTCAAAATGGCTGGGACAGACACAAAATTAACCCCAGAGCCCCTGAAACCCTCTCTTTTTATAGCTTACATCACTCTGGGGGTCAATACACCCCCTTGTCTACTCCATATTTACCCTATAAAGAGAATAACTCTCCCCTCTCCCTGTAACTCAAGGTTTTTGGCACAAAAAGTAACAAAGATAAACTCAACTAAGCTAAAGCTCTTAAAAATAACCTTACAACCTCAGGTACCAATGATCCAAAGACCCACTTCCCAGAATCCTTAGTGTAACATCAAACCATGCTTATGTCAAAGTTTGGCGATGACAGGAGAAGAAGCTCAATCTTATTCCTCTTTGTCTTTCTTTGTCAACATAACCCTTTAGTCTTTTCTTAATCTAGGATCTAGTCAGACTCAATTTCAGAGGGACGGTTTGGAAAAGAAGAAATCTGAGAGCCAGATTATCAGACTTCAGAGAGACGCACCCAGCAGAGTGTGTAACATGATAATGTAATATAGTTGACCTTACTGACATTAAGCTGTCAGCTATACAGACGCACAGTGTGGCTGATTCCCCCGCTTTTAGAGAGGACGCTTGTATGGAGTTTGTAGACGCAGGCGTTAGACTTTCTCAGACATTCCAGTAAAAACGTAAAATCTAAAACTGAAAACAGAAGATTTGATGTGGAGTATAATATTACAAAACTCAGATTTTGTATTTTCTGAAGATACAGAGCCACAGACTATGACCTGCCATCAACATGAGTCCCAACACCACCAGTGAATCAGGCTTAATCTTCACCCTTCTTCTACATATATTTATACAGTGTTCATGCACAAAGTAAAATGTGTATAATTTTGCTGCAGGTGAAATAAATATTTTGTAGTTCAAAGAGTCACAATTAACAATGAAATGTAAAAGAAAAAAAAAAGCCATGCTGCCATTCTTGACTCCCAAATCTCATTAAAAAGATGAAATTGATGCGTAAAGTGGGTAGAAAGATTTTATTGCCTTAAAAACTGAGTTGTTTTGACCACTGCAAAGAAAGAAAGTTTGTGTATAGTAGTCTTAAATTGCTCCATTCTGTGTACACTGTTACAAATTGAGCAAACATGTTATTTTTTTGTAGCTGTTATATTGTGAAGTTTTATTTTACTACGTGTTTTCCGATGTACTGTATGTAGTAACTTTCATAGAACACACTCATCACTCACTCTGTTGCTTTTCTGCTACTGCATAATGAGGAGGGGGAGGATGGGGGGGGGGACACTGCTGCTGCTGAGGGCCACTGCTAAAAGTCGCTGCAGAATCTGTAGTTTTAAATGTAATAAAACCCCTTTTTTAATAAGGGCAGAAACACCTTAATAAGACATTACGTTTGCAAATGAGCTGTTTGGCTTAATGTCATAACATGTTCAAACTTATCAGATGTGTGCCTCAGCCCTTTATGATCTTTTTCATATCTTTTTGGAGCAAAGCCTCACTTGGGAAAAATAAATCATGGTGTATTATTACCCATTACCTTAGATAACATCCCTGTACACTTCAGCTGGAACTTCAAAAGCCTTTTTCATTTCTTTATCGTCACGTCTTGTGATCTTAAAGGTCCCTTTATCCCTCTCCTTCAGGCGTGATGAGCAGATAGGCATAAAAGCAAAGAGAACTGTCTGGATGGACAGGCAATGTGCAATGTGGGGGAGAGATAAGCAGCTATGCAAGTTTCTCATGCAGCGTCCTGGATCTTTGTTTTCATTCGTAAGTAAGTGAAGACACGGGAAGATGGCAAGCAGCTTATTAACACGCAATAAACCACAGATTTATAATAAATGACAACAAGGATGTATTCGAATCCGAGACATGATTTTGTCAGTGTCCATTTATTTTGCTTATAGTATGTTGGATTAACGGCCTTTACGGTTCATGTTACCTTGGAACTAAATGCTATATATGACACTTGATTATGTAGAAGAGGGGTTAAAAGAAAACAACCTCTGATATATAAGTATACTCTCAAGTAAATGTTCATGAACAATACGTGCCACATTCATTTAGATTATTTGTATTTCAGATGGGACCAATACTTTATCTTTATTACAAAAGGTGATCTGCAAAACCCAAATATATATTCCATAGCGACTTAACTAACATTCAGCAGCAGTTTTCTCCAACATCACAACCTCTCCTCCAAAACAAACAAACCGGGAGCTGCAGCAGACATCCACTCAGAAGTTGTGTATTTTATGTAAAATGAACCACTCCATATTCAGTGATGTGTAGACTTTATTTATGACCAGATGTGTAAATTATATACTTTTATTCCTCGTTTGCCTGTGCAATGTTTTATTATCTTCCTGTCTCTTGTATTGTGTGCACTAAATGCAATACCACATTAGTGTTCACCTGTTCGGCACAATAAAGTCTTTCCCAAACGTAGTCTCATGGTGTCACGCCTATTGTCTCATTGAAGTATTTAAACAGGGGGATATGATCGGGGGGAAACGCAGTATAAAGCTTACAATCGGTTAAAATTTAAATGGTTAAGAAGGAGTGATTTTCAGGAACATTAGGGATCAGGGAGTCACAATGGGAGGGACTGGGTGTGGGGGGATCGGGGGAAAGCTCCATGGGACGAGGCCGGGTGGGATGAGGACAGTTTTTATAAGATCCTGCTGTGTCAGCATACTCTTCCGTCACTGAGGGCAATTACTCTGACCGTCAGTCAGTCGGAGACCAGGCCAAAGAGTTAGCATAATCCTTCATAAATATTACAGATGAAACAATTTTAAATAATGTGGGGAATATATGCTTTGAATCATGTCATATTTTAGCAACTAGAAGCCAACGATCTAGAATCATCGAGCCTTCATGTTCACATATTCATGTGAAATGGTGAGATTTGGGGAAAGTGGAAAGAGTCTCTTTTTCTTTTATACAAACTTTGAAGATTTAAAAGGTATTATGTTTTTCAATCAAATGACGTGCCAGAACCAAAAAGAAAACAGAAAGATAAATAAAATGAGATAAAGATAAACGTTTTAGTTTGTTTTTCCTCAGTTGTTTATAGCAAAAAAGAAACAATGGTCAGTGATTTATGATGATCTTGGAAAATGGATATTGATTGTGAAAGTTGGTTTTAGACTATACAACTTTTTATTCTGTGGATTGTAAATGTGTACATCAATCTAGATATGGCTTCCATTAATTTATGTTTTTCATACCATGCTTTGTGTTTTTCATACCAAGCTTTGCCAAATTAACAAAAACACTGCTCAAACACACAGACATGCCCACTGCGGTGTCTCTTACCTGTGTGCTTGTGTTTTATTCAATAAGAAATTATTTATGTTTGCCTTTTAGCTAATTGTGTTACCACCCTATTTCTTTAACTACACAATCCACTTTTGAGTTTTTTTTGCTGTTCTTAGCATTTGTTAGCATGTTTTAGTCTCTGTATACCCCATAAACAGCTGGGGCAACATCTGCCTCGGAGACTAATTGCAGGTCTGTAAAATTAACCACATTTAGTAAATTGTCACATATATCAAAAGGCTGTAAGTGAAAACTACCAGGTGTCATCCCACACCGAAGTTCAAGAGACACTTTGGCTAATAGAGGGGTGAGCAGACGCCTCGGAGGGTGACCTTCACCTTGCATTCCTGCCTTTAAACCTCAACTATGAACTTTTGAATGACATTTATATACATTGGTCAAGTTAAACTAAACTTAAACTGAAAGCACATATTTGGTCTGGCTTGTATTATGTGTGAAATAAATGTCTGTTGTTGCAATTGTATATTCAATTTCAGTCTTAAAAATATATTCTAGAGATCTAGCAGTGTCCCTCTCAAATGCAACCACAACAAAGTATAGCTTTAAACTGTAAAGCAGAATGAGGAATTTGTAATGGCAATACTTTAAAAAAAGAATCTCATATTTTCCCCTTTTACACTATTGTGATGCAAATAGTGTATTTTGTTTTGCTTGAGGTAAAACATACAGAAAGTTAAAGTGTGTATGAGCAACCTGCTTACCTTCTTATGATCAAAAAAGATCATAACAATGTTAGGGCCTAAAATACTTTCCAATGCTTTTGAAGATGATTTTGCAATGTAATTTGAGTTGATGAAGGCTTTGACCTGAAAAAAACTAATACTGTTTAATATATTTCTAATAAAAAATGCACTCATATAAACCACATGAGCGTTAAATAAAGACATTATTTTAAGTAACTTTAGATTAATGAAATATCAGCACCATTCTTGTTTCCTCAATTTCTACAAATCTGGTGCTATAAAACCTCATATTATAGCCTCGCAAAACGTTGCCAAGTAATCCCACTTGCCATTAAGACCTGGCCTGAGTGAAAGCTTGACAGAGCGGGGTTATGAAAGAATCCGCAGAGAAGCTCACAATATTACAGAGCTTATCTCTCCGCAGCAGCCACAGAGACCAAGTATGGAAACTTGGATCAAGGGATCTGTCCTGTGACTGTTTACATTTCTCTCATTGTTTCTACGTCACCAAGTAGCCGAAGCATTCATTACCCCGGCAGCTACTGCTCCTCTCTTCCCAGCTGATGGTGAAGTATGGACGAGTACCAAGAAAAAGGAGGAAGCCGTTATTAAAGACGGGGGCAGGGGAACAATCAGAGGCTGGAGACCCCACCCTGCCCCCCCCCCAGTACAGGAAGGGGATCCTCTCCCCAGGTTGTGCTGTATGTGCTCACATGCAGGCACACACAACACTTTTCCATGAGCGGACTGTACTTTAGTGTACCCTGGAGAGAAAAACAAACATGTTGTGGAAGATCATGCTGGCTGCCACAAGCAAAGCTAGTTACCATAGAGGAAAAATTAATAAGAACAGACGTAGTTTGGCGGAATCCTTGTTAGAAATAAGGAAACAGGAAGCAAATCAAATGCCTTCAGGGGGAATCCTGAGACAGACAAATGGACTGTACAGCTTTTGATGTATTGTTCTCTGCTGTGTAGACTAATATTTCCACATAGTATATGTAATGTTTCCATGTTGTACATGAAAGACTCAACTTGCTGGACGTTAACAGGGTTTATTCACCAGTGCTGGCTCACACACGTTATACATGCTTACTGTGCACTTCATCACTGCTAGTGTATCTATATCCTGTGTAGACAGCAGGGGGCGCAGTTATACTGAGAGCACAATACATTCACATGAATATCACATTGCCCTTTTCTTTTTAATAGCTTTAAACATTTGGCTGTTATACTGCATTTAACATAACAGTTATCTGGAACTAGTGCAATTCTGCTGTAACAATATCTTTAAGACTTTTGTATTCACATGTTAGTTTTGAACACATCCTCCACACCCAATTATGCATACTGAAAATGCATTAAAACTGTTTCCTACATAAATCTTATTTGTCTAAATCAGGACTCAACAGTCTCTTGAAGTTAACAACAGTTGGAAATATACACATTTGTATATACCCAGAGTATCATTCACATGTTTAGCAGTCCATACACTATGTATAGTCCTGTAAATAGGCAGGTGGACGCCTATCGTGTCTCGTGGGATATCTGGGTGTTGTTGTGACAGTAGAGTCATCACTGACTGGATCTGGTGGGATGTCAATTAGCTCTCCAGCGATCTTCTTGAAGAATAAACAGTTCCTGACTATGTGATGTCCATCTCTTGCCGCTGTAACCATTGAGCCTTTGACTTTAATCACAGTGTAGGGTTTAGTGTTGTATGGTTTGGTGAGTTTGTTATGCTTGGGCTGGCGATGAAGCACAATGTCACCTGGAGTGAAAGTGTGAGGTGTGGCATGACGATGAGTGTCTGCATGAGATTTCATCTTGGCTTTAGCCTTCTTGTTCTTAGCTCTCACTTCTGAGTCTGAGCTCTTGTTGGCAGTGTGAGTGAATGAAGGGATCTTTGTGTACACTTTGCGTTGGAATAACAGTTCAGCAGGTGAGCTCTCTGTTGTGCTGTGAGGTGTAGATCTGTACTCGCGTAGAAATATTGTCATCTCTCGCAAATTATGTTAGTTTAGTTAAGTGTTTTTTTTAGGGCTGTCAGTCGATTAAAAATATTTATGAATGAAAATCAATTTCGATTAAGTTTAATGGTGTAAATCTCCACACAACCAGTGGGAGAAGAAGTATTTAGCTATTTTACTTGAATAAAAGCTATAGCTATAACACTTATTGTTTTCCCTTTTTTTTTAATACTCTTGTACAAGAAAAATACTGCATTCAAACACAAAACATACGTGAGGGTGGGGCGTAGTAATCAGCAGCGAACCGCTTCAACACGTGTATTTCGGTGTATTCACGACATTCATTTTGTTATTCTACAGTATTGTTGTTTTATAGTTATTTGTTAACTTAATGTAACCCAATTTGTGTTCTTTGAAATTGAAAAGGATATCGCATTGTGTTTGTTACTTTCGTTGCAGTTGTATGTCTTAAGTGTAATTTCGCTTGACATGCTTTTATTTTGAAGGAGAGGTAGCGCTGTTGACAGGAAGTTGTTGTTGCTTTGGAAACAACAACGAAATTGAAACCCGAATAGTACTGCAACGAACGAATATTCGGGTACAGCCCTGTAATGTTTCCATGTTGTACATGAAAGACTCAACTTGCTGGACGTTAACAGGGTTTACTCACCAGTGCTGGCTCACACACGTTATACATGCTAAC